CAATCAAGAAAGTACAAGTATTTATAAATAGCTGTCTACGCAAGATACTCAACATCTATTGGCCGGATACCATCAGCAACAGCCTTCTGTGGGAGAGAACAAACCAACTTCCAGCTGAAGAAGAAATTAGGAAAAGACGATGGAAATGGATAGGACATACATTACGCAAATCGTCAAACTGCATCACGAGGCAAGCCCTAACTTGGAATCCTGAGGGGAAGCGAAAAAGAGGAAGGCCAAAGAACACATTGCGTCGGATAATAGAAGCAGATATGAAAAGGATGAATTACAACTGGACGGAGCTAGAAAGGATTGCCCAGGACAGGGTTGGATGGAGAACGCTGGTGAGCGGCCTATGCTCCTTCACGAGGAGTAACAGGCGTAAGTAAGTAAGTAAGTAAGTAAGTCGTGTCGTTCGATTGTACCGAAGGAAAATCCACGTAGATAGGATTTCCTTCTAAATACGCTGCTTTTAAGCGATCGATACTGATGCTATCGTTGGTTCCGTTCTTATCGACTATATAGTACTTAGATTCACGTTGAAGAACTTTGAAGGGTCCTTCGTATGCTGATTCGAAGGGTCGTCGATGCGAGTCTCGACGAACGAAAACGTGTGTACTATATCGTAAGTCAGGTTGAACGAAAACATCAGTTGATTGAGGTCGAGTGGAAGCAGGTTTAACTGAACGCATTGCGTTTGTAAGCCTGTTCGTGTAGGAGGTTAGATCCATGTTCATTGAAGAGGATGAAGGATCCACGAATTCTCCTGGAAGTCGAAGTGTCGTACCATAAACGAGTTGAGACGCAGTGTATCCAATGTCAGCTTTCACTGCATTGCGGATACCTAGTAAGACGAGTGGAAGAGCGTCGGTCCACTGTGAAACGTTTGTAGCTGATAGCGAAGCTTTCAGTTGTCAGTGAAAACGTTCTACCAACCCGTTTGCTTGTGGATGGTAGGCGGTCGTTCGGAAGCGAGTGATTCCTAAAAGCGTGGTCAGACGACGGAAAAGATCGGATTCAAACTGACGTCCGCGGTCTGTAGTAATGGTTGAAGGGCAGCCGAAGTTTGCTACCCATCGTTCGACGAAGGTGCGAGCCACTGTTTCAGCAGTGATGTCCTTGATAGGTACTGCTTCTGGCCATCGAGTGAAACGGTCTACGCAGGTTAAGAGATAAGAGTATCCATTTGCATCTGGTAAAGGTCCTACCAAATCCAGATGAACATGGTCGAAACGAGCATCGGGAGTTTTAAACGAGCCTAAGGGACATTTATTGTGTCTGATAACCTTAGATTTTTGGCAGCTTACACAGGAGCGTGCCCACTCCCTCACGTTTTTATTCATTCCAGGCCAGCAAAACCTTTCTGCTATAAGCTTGATGGTTGCACGAACACCTGGATGCGAAAGTTTGTGCAATGTGTTGAAGACATTGCGTCGATAATGTTTCGGCACGATTGGGCGATCCCTACCTGTAGATGTGTCACAAAGTAAGGTTTCCTTACCTGTTCCCATCTGTTTGATGCGTAGTTTAAGTGTTGTGGACGATAACTCGTGCTGAAGATCACTGTCTTCTTTTTGAAGCTCGGCGAGTTTCAGGAGGTCGATTCCTTGGAAACTGTTCAAGGAAGTTGTCCGAGACAAGGCGTCTGCGACTACATTGTTTGCTCCAGAAATGTGTTGAATGTCTGAGGTAAACTGCGAAATGTAGTCCAGTTGTCGAGACTCACGTGGAGAGTACTTGTCTGAAGGAGAGCTTAACGAGAAAGTGAGCGGTTTATGGTCCGTGAAAAGAGTGAATTCACGACCTTCGATCTAGTGTTGGAAATGCCGTACAGCACAATACATAGCTAGGAGTTCCCTACCGAATGTGCTGTACCTCGATTCGGTGTCTAGCAACCTTCTAGAGAAAAATGCCAAGGGTTGCCAGGACTTGTTAACCCATTGTTGTAAGACTCCTCCGATTGCCGAGTCGGATGCGTCTACTGCGATGCTAATGGGTGCTCGGGTGTCCTGATGTGCGAGCATCGTTGCTTTAGCAATCAGTTCCTTAACTGTGGAGAATGCTTTTCGTGCCGTGTCGTCCAAATTAATGGATTTCGCATTTCCACGAAGTTGGTCGGTCAGAGGTTTCATAAGTAATGCGCATTTCGGTATGAAACGTCTATAGAAACTTACCAGGCCGTTAAACGTGCGTAATTGCTTGACGGTGGTCGGTTCTGGGTAATCCAGAATGGCCGCCACTTTGGTCCTAAGAGGTCGAATGCCTTGAGCATCGATAGTGTGTCCTAGGAAGTCTAACGAGTCGGTTCCGAATTGGCATTTCTGAACGTTTACAGTTATGCCATGTTTTTGAAGTCGTTCGAAAACAAGATCCAGATGCTTGAGATGTGTTTCTCTGTCCGGACTTGCGATTAGACAGTCGTCAACATACGCGTGTACGAAATTGAGACCTCGAAAAACGTCGTCTATGAATCTTTGGAATGTTTGAGCAGCATTCCTTAGACCGAAAGGCATTCGCAAAAATTCATAGAGTCCGAAAGGAGTTATGATAGCTGTTTTCGGTATGTCGTCAGTAGCCATAGGGATTTGGTTATACGCTTTAACCAAGTCGATTTTCGAAAAGACAGTTGTACCTTTCAAGGTAGCTGTCAAATCGTGAATGTGAGGCAACGGGTAACGATCGGGAATGGTTTTCGCGTTCAATCGCCGATAGTCACCAGTTGGACGCCAATCGTTGCTGTCCTTTTAGGGACCATGTGCAACGGAGATGCATATGGGCTACTTGACGGTCGTATGATTCCTAAGTCCATCATGTGATCGAATTCGTTTTTCGCTAACCTTAGCTTTTCAGGAGCTAGTCGTCGTGCTTTAGAGAATACAGGTGGTCCTGTAGTCGTGATGTGATGTGTAACATTGCTGGTTACACACGGTAGTTTCGGTTGAGTTTGTTGTATCCCAGGGTACTTATCGAGTAGTGGTTGATAGAGTGGGTCTATCATATGTTTAACTGTGACTGGGGATACTCTACAACCAGTAAAAGAAGTTACGCAAACGGACAAATTAGTGTTTCCGTCTACTAGCCTCCGTTTGCGCGTGTCGATGATCAGATTGTGGTGTTGTAGAAGGTCCATACCAATGATTGGCATAGAAACATCTGCAATAACGAAAATCCAGTGGATGGGTTTGCGTAAACCCACGTTAAGGTAAACGTACCTTTTGCCATACGTAGCGATCGGTTTTCCGTTTGCCGCCTGTAAGTTTAGGGTCGATTCGTGTAGTCGGTCGTTAGGATTTGCTGGGAGAACGCTAACTTCTGCGCCAGTGTCGACGAGGTAACGAACTCTCGTTGTCACATCCATGACGAATAACAGACGGCTTTGTTCGCCGGCTACGGTTGCCGTTAACGCGTGCCGGCTTGGAAGTTTCCCGAATCGCTTTTCGAATCAGTCGGTTTCGTGTTGGGAAAATTGCAGGGTTTTCTGCAATTTCTGGAAAGCTTTCCATACTGGTTATGATACCAGCACCAGTCGGGGTTATCTGTCTCTCGTGGTCTAGAGACAGATCGCTTACGAGAAATGCTTCTACGTGGTGTGCGCGATCTCTTACGGTCGGTACGAAGACTAGGATAACGCGTGAGTATGTGACATAAGTCGTTTATATCATTCTGAGTCGTTTGAGGTTTTTCTTTGACTGAAAATACCTCGGTAGTAGATTTCGTAATTTCTAATATGCGGTCGGCAGATGCAGCTAGCTCGTCTAAGGCATTGTTCTGGAACGAGACCAGAACTGCTTGCACCTGTTGGGGAAGTTTTGACAAGAAGAGTTGTTTGAATAGGCCTTCGTCGAAAGTTCTTGGGCCTATTACCTCTCTCATCCGTTGCAACATGTCTGTCGCAGAACCATGTTGCAGGTCGATATTGTTGAAGAGTTGATCTAACCTTTGTCGATCGGTTAGGTCTCCTCGTTTAAGAATCGAGCGTTTTAAGATTTCGTAAGGATCGGAAACATCACTAGTAAACATACTAGGTGTTACGTACCTGTTGAATTCGCGCGGTAGTGCCTTGACTACTGCGAGGAATTGTGCACGTGTGTCGATCACGTCGTGCTCGGAGAAGTCGGCTTCTGCGTAGCAAAACCAGGCTTCGATGTTGTCGGGCCAGAAAGGCATCAGTTGAAACGAAGGCGGGGACAAAGTCTTAAGCTTGAGTACTTTAGGTGTCTGTTCAGTCATGATGAAGTATGAAGTACGATAATGAACAAGGGAAAATATATATATCCAGGAAAAAACACGAAAAAAAAATCACAATGTTTAAAAAAGTTAAAAAAATAAGGCTGATGATGTCACAGGTATTCAGTGTTTGACAACGCTTCTACCAGTAACACCTAATATATTTCGTTCCCGCCCAGAGAAATCAAAAGACAGAGTCGAGGAGATCGGAAGAGTATATTTGGCGATGACCAATATATCGGAATTCTCTGATCTAATCTGGCTAGCGATTGCGGTTGATGTTGAGCACGGCGTTACCACACGTGATCTGGTGCGGATGACTGACCGAGCGCCTTCAGCTAGGTGAGTCCACTAAAACATATGGTCAGCATCCAATGTCGAAAACTTAGTGCTATTTATTTTGGGGATTTATTTAGCGCTACACCCCGTTGACATATCGCAGAACTAGAGGCGACTTGATTGCATTTTTCGAATTTCTTAGTGCCGAATTCGCACCTATATGCCCTCATTTTTCTTGTCTTCCAAAACAGAGAATTTACGAGGACACTCCAAATATGTTCACAAGCCTAGAACAAATTACTTGTCAGCTGACTATGGACTTTCCCTTCGAATCATCAACGAGTGGAATTCATTAACTCAACACGTGGTTGAGGCTCCACCCGTCAACTGAGGGACCACCATTACCAGGACTATCACAGGCCACCTAGTCTCCTATCCTTTTCAAACTGAAACTGAAACTGAGACAGAAGGCGCTATTTTAAAATTGGTTGGCTTCCTGTGGGTCATCAATGTCATAGTCATAGTCACATTGACTACAAAAATTATGTAAATTTTAGTTCTACTAATAATCACCTGGTGTTTAATAAAATGTTTCGAAATGTTGGGCGTTTATTTCGATACTCTCTTGACAGAAGATGTAAGTAATGCATAAAGGATTTATTTAAATTACTTAAGTAATTTTCGGTGATATTATAATTTATGGACGAAACAATCAGGTATAAGATAACAGGTCTCATATTTTGGAGCGAAGTTCACTCACCCATCTGGCTAAATAGAGTTTTGGCATTGTAGCCGATATCAGTCCATGATGATGACCCTAGACCTAAGCCCTAACATTAACCATCAACTCTAAACCATAATTCTACCTGCTAACACTAGTTTATAACCCTCATTCGGTGGACACTCTCAAAGTTAGTTTAACGTCACTCAGAAGTCGTCCATAGGTTATATCTTTGCAAGAATGGCAAAGCCTTGCTCTAACACATTGTGACGAGCCATCAAGAGGAGCCAAGATGTTTATGTGCCTGAAATGAGACTGGTGAAGGTGGTGTATGAGACGCGATTTACCTCCGTACAACAAAAGGTGACTGCTTGGAGTTTGGGTGATAAATGTGTCAGGTTTTCACCTAACATTTCTTTATATTTTCCTAAATTAGGTCCTAGAGATCGTGCAGTTTAGTGGTTTGAAATATCACTGGACATGATTCAAATTAAAATCCGCTAACAATTCTCCAGTCTTTCATTCGTCACCAAGATCAAGATACAAACTACTAAATGGGATGTCTTACTGCGACTGTATTGTTTGTTGCATACCGTTGTTTCATTCTTCATTTTTTGTGTTTTTCTGTATGGTGCGTTTCTTATATCACGTATCCACTGTGTTAACATTTTCCATCTGGATGATTATATACATTCTGCCATGATCCCTTTGTCCCTCGTTACCTACTTTTTGTAGTCTTCACAAAAAACTGCTTTTAAAAACCCAGGTGGCTTTCAAATTATTTTTGTGTGTGCTCGATACATATTCTTGCAGTTGCAAAAAGTTTTCCCGCAATTTCTTAGGCTAACAAGCCGATAGCATTTTCTTCGTCCGTTTCTGAGGACGATGATTTACTGCCTTATTGTGTTAAATTTTTTCATAATAAAGGGTGCTGTCTTTTAATTATTTCGTAAGCAAGTAGTTCAGGAAATGCACTTTGTTACTTCAAACTATTAATTAACGTGTTACCATTACTTGATTTTTCCTAGCATGACATTTACAAAATATTGAAACACTGCTGTGGCAAAGTGTTTTTTCTCTGCTGTAAACTCAGCTAGAATGAGTTATTAGACTATACTTTCATCAATAGTTATGGTTAATGATGTTATTACTGTTATTATTACTATTGCCATTACGTCATTATTATTACTATTATCACAGAAACTTATGATAATTAGTAGTATTTGAATTATAGTACAAGCTAGGATTCCCAGAAATAACGCAATCGGATCAAGAAGGACTAGATAAACACGAAACAGTGAAACATGGCCGGTAAGAGTAGAGGATATTCGTAGGTTAATAGTATTTGATCATAGGTGTCTTCGAAACATTGCTCGTATATCCTGGGACCACCGAGTAAGTAATACAGTTGTTAGGAAACGGGTACTAGGTAAGGATTGCAAATCAATTGAAGTAATGAAATTTCATCAGTTGAGATGGCTGAGACACGTGTTACGTATGCCCAACGAGCGACTGCCTCGACGTGCGATGTTCAGTGGTATAGGAGAAAGCCAGGGGCGGCCAGACCAAAACATGGCACAAGTCCATGAAGTCACTGACAAGTGGACTAAGTCATGTCGGTAAGTGTAGACTACCTGGTTGGGGACCGCGAGATGATAGCAACCGATGGTCAGATACCCTGAATGACATGGCTCAAAATCGTTTGCAGTGGCGCACGTGCATACAATCTTTGTGTTCTCCCAAATTTTGATCTCCTTATTCCTCCCTGTCTCTTTTTTTTCTCTTCCCAAATTTATTTCGCTGTATTATACTCTTTAAATAACATCTCCAAACACTAATTTCCTGATTACTGCTTATACTCTTATTACCTCTACCACTACGGAATTTGAATCGACCACTGCATCTCTGTGCTAACGTGGTGTGGCAACTCGAACTGATGCACGAACGTACGAAGTTCTACGTTGTTACTGACTGACTGACTGAGATAAGCACGAACGAATGTACTGTATTTGGAATTCGAAATCAAGCATTCAACAAGTACAAAGGAATTGTTAGTTCATACAAACACCACACAACTATAACATAACGCTCCCGATATCGTGCTAACTATTTTGCATACGATTTTATATTATTGATTACAACTCATCACCTTAATCAGGACTTGATTCTTCTCATCCTTTATGTATGACATTTTCTTGACATTACCAATGACGTTTTGTCAGTAATTTTTACTATTTATGACTCAATTGGCGTGAAGTTTTCCATTTTCGCTTTGTAACATATGTTAATTCAGCTTTAATATTTTGCCTGTCGTAACACGAAAATGAAAGCTTTGGGCATATAATTGCAGAGCCTGATGGAGAAGTTACCGAAAACAATCGTTCGCACTAATGCTCTTTGTTTTTAAATATTCTGTAGGGATTTTTAAGTCATTAATGTCTTGAAGTTTTCTTACAACTGTCTTAGCTTCATTGTAATATATACACTCGACGACCATCCGTGTTTTTTCTACAGTTCTACAACGTTAACTTTGCTCATGACTACGTCTTTTCTAAACCTATTATTCAATTACACTATTCAATAAATGATTCAGTTCATTAATTTCTTAAAAGCTTATAATGTTATGTGTTAGCCGTCGTTCATAATGATATTTTATGGGATTACAACTTATTCTGTTGTTAATCATGTTCATTATCTAGGTTCAAATTTAGTAGATGTGGATTCAAATAAAGTGTACGATGAGTTGCTGAAGAAATCATACTTACTACCTGAAAATGGGCATAATGTTGTGATTATTCAACCACGTAAGTTGCATGTTGTTTCTTTGTTTAAATTTTGATTTTTTTTGGTTCCATTTAGTTGTATTCGATATTTGTAAACACTAATTCAGCGAGACCGACTCCGGTTTCGTATTTGAGTTTTTATGTTAGAACATTCAGGAAACTTTATGTCGTCCACTAAGATTAGAACCTATGTTATTCAGTACTGTTGTCAAGCTAGATCAACAAAATTTTGTTAATATTAAGAAATCTCAGCGACTAAAGTGGTCTTTAAAGTCACGTTGTTAGTTCTTCATGATGATTTTTCATATAGACGGGAATTATATCATACACTGATATGCTCGTCAAACAAGTCCTATAACTAACACTATATGAATAGTAATAAATCAGAAAATAAGCTGAATTTTCTCTCATACTCTTGGTATACTATTAAAGGAATTGCTAGTGGACAGGACTTTCGACTTACATAAACGTAGTAAACGGAAATACCAGCTTTCAAAAAGATTATGTCCCTACACTTTTCGAGATTAGTTATCATGTAATTCATTTTTCATGGTCTCTGCTGAGGGCTATGCATTTTTTGGGAGAAAGTCAATCGAAAGGTCTATTAATAGCCGACCAAGAATGGTAAATCGTATAATAATAGTTCATAGGTCAAAATGAGGCTCATAATAAGAGGGACATGAATATGTATAGTTTAGTTACATAACAATTATACGATAAAAATATACGCATGGTATTGGTCCATAAATGGATCTCAAAGTTACCACTCATTATGCTTATCGGGACATAACACATAAAGACCCTGCAACCCCTCAAGCAGTTTAAATTGATTAGTCACTTTACTCTGGTTAACACTTCTTTAGCGAGATTCTTTTTTTGGTTAAGTTGTTCTGTTGATAGTGTGCTGGTAGATATCACCATTCTCTTCTGTGTTGATGTACTGCTTCCAGAATTATTCTCCATACTCAAGCTCTGTAACCATCTAACTGGCTCATCTAAGTAGGCATGGGGCTTAAGGCTACTGATGTCTCCAGTTATTTCTGTCATCTACAAATCGGATTTTTGACAGCTTAATCTGTCTATGCGATCAGATTCTCAAAAATTAAGTCTCCTGGTCAGGTCTTAATTAACTGGAGAATCAGTGATCTACAAGCTGATTTACCCCAATTGCCTATGACAGAATATTCGGTTGATAGTTATTCCTTAGGTCAAACACTACGGTTCTGTTGTCATGAGCAACACTCACTCAATATTTGACTTTTTCCTCTACTTTGTATATATACATTTCACTCATTCTTTTTTGAGTTTTGTTCTTTCCTACATAAGTGAATATTTTTTGGTAGTAAATAGCAGCCTACATTGTTAATTGCAGGTCTACCTTTCCAATGCTTGTTCCACTTCCCAAATCTTTTAATATCAGCCTAGTTCTTCCTAACCGATCTCGGTGATCTGAAGTTACCGGTTAATTATGCTTAGCTTTTTCGGTTCATCCGTAAAATACTCTGAATGAATCCAGTTTAAAATATGAACTAAATACGGAGCTTCCTTTTTCTTTCCTCGTTTTTAAGGAAAAAATATCAGCGAGACTATAATTTATGAATGGACCAGTCAGATATAAGGTAACAGGTCTCGGATTTTGGCGCGAAATTCATTTATCCGTTCGGATAAACAGAGTTTTGACAATATAGCTGATGTCAGTTCGTGATGAAAACCCGAAATCTAATTCCTAACCTTAATCATCAACTGTAAATTCTAATTCCCCACACAGCTTTATAACCCCCATTTGGTCTTGCTTATTAAGTGGACACTCTCAAGGTCAATCTGGCGTCGCTCAAAGGTCGTCCATAAATTATGGTCTCACCAAAAATATCAGTACCAGAAGTTTATAGTTTCAGACTGTTAGGATGCACTTCAGTCACATGTATAGCGATTCGTGTGTCATCTGAAGTTACGTTTTGTACTGTAGAAGCATTAAAAACAGCGTGTATAAACTCTGAAAAGTAAGGAAACTATTAAAAAAAAACAAGAGCCAAAAACTTAGTGAGCCCATAGGATGTACTTAATACACTTAATAATGACCAGAATCGGCAATAACATGTAAAATCAAGAAAATTCGACACTAGAAACTGGCGTTGTATTTCGAATCCGTTGCAACATGGTACCAAACAAGTTAAATCGATATAAAAGCTGACAGAATTATGTATTCATTATTCACTACTGTTTATTCAGTACAAAGAATCCTCAGCACAAAAGTATAAAATATTGCAACAAATTTCTATTACTCTAAATTCCATGACATCCAAGGTTTTCTCTAAATATTGACTTTCCATCACAAATGTTTCCGGTTAGTTACATTATAACTTAGCATGTACAGGGGTGTGTTAGGTTCGTTAACCTTGAGGATACTACTGATTCGACTTATTCGGAACGGAACGAAGGCTCAGGATTCACAGACTCAATTCGACTCAGCTAACTCGATCAAGAAGTCTTGGTAAGGCGTAGAAAGTGTATTCTACAAGCAACAGCAGATACCAAGTCAGGCAGGCAGATCAGATCAAGCATACAAGTCAAGCGTATTTATACAATTATTTACAATCGATAGAAAATTTTTAAACATTAATCAATGAGTTCATTAATGAAAATTTAAACATTAATGAGTTCATTAATTGGTGTGACTAGTAAGTTGGTCCCCTCAGACAACCAATAGCATCTGCAGCGATTCTGCCTCCTCACAACGAAAAGAAGAGGTTAAGAAAGGTTGGTCCTAGAAATGTCACACCTCACAACTCCAGCCAAGTTGATAGCACATTTAGTAATTATGGATTTTAATAAACTCACTGGAAAAGACATGATAATTTTACTTGTTAAGTACCAAAACTATTCCATAGATCATCTGAATCTGTAAAATACTACTAAGCATCAAACATTTCTTTTAGGTAAGCAAACAGTGATGCATATGTAATAGTGATCTAAAGATTCTGGGTTTAGTTATGAAAGGAGACTTAAGATACACAATATCAGTCAGTCAGTCAGTAACAACGTAGAACTTCGTACGTTCGTGCATCAGTTCGAGTTGCCACACCACGTTAGCACAGAGATGCAGTGGTCGATTCAAATTCCGTAGTGGTAGAGGTAATAAGAGTATAAGCAGTAATCAGGAAATTAGTGTTTGGAGATGTTATTTAAAGAGTATAATACAGCGAAATAAATTTGGGAAGAGAAAAAAAAGAGACAGGGAGGAATAAGGAGATCAAAATTTGGGAGAACACAAAGATTGTATGCACGTGCGCCATTGCAAACGATTTTGAGCCATGTCATTCAGGGTATCTGACCATCGGTTGCTATCATCTCGCGGTCCCCAACCAGGTAGTCTACACTTACCGACATGACTTAGTCCACTTGTCAGTGACTTCATGGACTTGTGCCATGTTTTGGTCTGGCCGCCCCTGGCTTTCTTCCATCCTACTCCTATACCACTGAACATCGCACGTCGAGGCAGTCGCTCGTTGGGCATACGTAACACGTGTCTCAGCCATCTCAACTGATGAAATTTCATTACTTCAATTGATTTGCAATCCTTACCTAGTACCCGTTTCCTAACAACTGTATTACTTACTCGGTGGTCCCAGGATATACGAGCAATGTTTCGAAGACACCTATGATCAAATACTATTAACCTACGAATATCCTCTACTCTTACCGGCCATGTTTCACTGCCATAAAGTAGGACGGAACGAACTGCTGTGCAGTAAACACGTCCTTTGGTTGGTAAACGGATATCTCGCCTACGCCATAAATGACGCAAGTTGGTAAAAGGTAGTCGAGCCTTCTGTATCCGTGCTGAGATTTCGTCACACACCAGACCGCAAGGGCTGATGAGACTTCCGAAATAAGTGAAGTGATCGACATGCTCAATTACTTCACTCCCTATCATTAGCTCGGGTGTCAATGCAACCCAATCCTAAAGCAACATTTTGCATTTCGAGGGGGAGAATCGCATCCCGAACATGCGTGCATTGTTGCCTAGAGTGTTCATAAGACTCTGTCAGCGTCTTCACCAAATAGAACTATGTCATCGGCATATTCCAAGTCAACAAGTGAATCTCCTGGTAGAAGTTCAACCCCTGGAAATTTAGATGAGGAAAGTGTCATCTATAAAAGCATGTCAATGACAAAGTTAAACAAGAATAGAAAGAGTGGGCAGACCTGACGAACACCAATTAAGGTAACCAATTCTGATGACAGTTCGCCACAAGCTCTCACTCAACCAGTTGTGTTCGAGTAGAGAGCCTTTATAAGGTTGATGTACTTCTTTGGTACTCCTTTCACTGACAAACACTGCCATAGAACCTCACGATCAACAGAGTCGAATGCCGCCTTAAGGTTGAGAAATACTACCATTGTTGGGCGTCTGAATGTGTATCTATGTTCTAGAACCTGACGTAGTGTGAATATCTGGTCTATACAACCACGTCCAGGTTGAAAACCAGCCTGGTTTTCTCTAGTCTGCTCTCCACAAGCTTTGGTCAGGCGTCGAAGTGTTAGTGATGCTAATGTCTTAGACACTATATTAGTCAAACTGATTCCTCTGTGACTGTCACAAGAGGACTCCTGTCCTTTATTATAGATTGGCAGAATCAGTGATTGAGACCAGTCAGATTGGATTACGTCCAGTTCCCAAATCCTACCTAAAACCTCAGTTAATCTCACTGCTAATACTGGACCACCATTCTTAAAAATCTCAGGAGTAAACCTGTCAGGGCCTGCTGCTCTCCCTCGCTTGAGATTTCCTATAGCTTTTTCAACTTCGTAAAGAGTTGGAGGACCTACACTAACTTGCCATTCAGGTTGACTGGAGATCGTGGGAAACCGCAGTGTGGCTGAAGGCCAGTTGAACTGATCCCTAAAGTGTTCTGCCCATCGATCCAATCTCCTGGATTGAGAATGTATAATATGTCCATCTTTCTCTGAGAGTGTTTCGCTAACAGTCGGTTTCCTAATACCGGTTTCCTTAACAAGTCTGAACAATTGTCTGCTATTACCTATTGCCGCTGCCTTTTCCATCTCTCTTGCTTTCGCTACCCACCACTGTTCACGATCATTGCGTAGACTTCTTGTCAGCTTGCGTTTAAGCTGACTCCGCTCTTCATTATGTTCAGAGCCAGGTGGAATGAGTTTCCGAGCATCTATCAGTGAGATAGATGCTGCTGAGATCCAGTGTTGCTCCCTAACCTTCTGGTTTACCTTACTAGCAGATATCACTGCTGTTTCCACAGCTTTTCGGATATCATTCCATGCTGCATCGGGGTGGGCATCACATACATGGCTGCCTAACTGTTTTCCTAGTTGTTCCTGAAATATACTCTTAGCTTGACTATCATTAAGTAAGCCCCTAAGAGGTTTCCTTGCAGCGTCTTTCCTACGTCCAGTAAGACGCAGACAGATACGCGCTCGTACTAGAGCATGATCTGAATCTAAGCATGTGCTCCAGAATGAGCGACAGTCTTCTATCGAGCCCCTCCATCGGTGGCTGATAGCGATGTGATCTATTTGGGTCCAACGTTGGGACGAATTAGGGGGTCGCCACGTTAAAAGATGTTTTTCCTTATGCTTAAAGTTAGTATTTGCAAGGAACAGGCGGTTATCTAAGCATAGCTGCAACAGACGGTCGCCATTATCTGTTCTTTGAGCCACGACACCATAAGATCCACCCAGGTGTCTTTCCCTATCGCTTAGTTTACCTACTTGAGCATTAAAGTCACAGGCCATTATTACTACATCCGAGCGCCTAGCTTTTAGGAGGTCGGAGAGCTTTCTGTAAAACTAATCTTTTACATCATCTGCGCTGCAGTCAGTGGGAGAATAGGCAGAGACGACGAAGAGGCAACGACGAGTGTCCCTATCTTTTCGGATTCTTACTGTTCCGTTCAGTCGGACAGCGCACAAACGACTGTCTACTGGGATCCACTCTAAGAGAGATAGTTCTGCCCTAGGACTCAATGCTATACCTACGCCGGCGAGGCCATGGGAAGCAGAATCAGGGTTTTCAGATACACGAAGTGTGAATCGAGTCGGTTCTTTATTTTGGCATGGTGAGGTCAAATGAATGACGCTACTTGGATCCTGTATGCGCGTTTCGGAGACGCAGCACACATCGATGGCGCGAGATTCTAAAGTTTTAGCTAAGGAAGCCTGCTGTCCTATTTGGCAAAGTGTTCGTACGTTAAAAGCTCCTACGTATAGTTTAGAGCGTGGTTTCAGGAGACCAAGAATAGCAGCCAGCGTACTCGAATCGTTTGCCATAGCGGTGCGAGGTGATAAAGAGACGTGAGGAGGGTTAGTCGGGGAGATAAGAGAGGTATTAGGAGGTGTAGGAAGGATTTGAATGTGACCAACTTGGTCTCATGTGCTGTTACGGGTATGAGGGCTGGTGTCACTTCCTGGCTGCCCACACCGTGGAAGGGTATTTCTTGAGGAACCTGAAAAGGAAATTGGATTAGTGTTCTTAAAGACCTGGGGGTGTGACCGCAGAGCTTAAGGGACAACTGCTTGAGGCCGATCGCGCACGGCCTCTTCGTGGAAGGTTTTTAATGTGTTAGCTCCGTTCTTCAAAGGGCCATACCACCGGAGACGGAAATCCGTGAGGTAACATGAGGTGTGACATTTTTAGGGTCGACCTTTTCTAACATTTTCCTTCCTTGTGAGAAGGCATGCTGGTTGTCCGAGGGAAACACCTTACTGCTGTCACACCCCTCTACAGTCAGCAGTACGACTACGCCCTCAGACCTTGAGTTGCTGCTTTTAGTCTTACTGTTCTTCAATCGACCTGCCTGGCATGGTAGAACCTACAGGAACATATGTTCCAGCCAATACAGCTCGGTTGGGTCATCACGATAGGCAAGCCCGACCACCGCGTCAAGGTAACAGCTTCGGTCGGGAGATACACAATATATATATATATATAATTTTATTATAGATACACAATATTATAGAGTTTTAAACAAAAACAAATTAGTTGTCTATTTAGTAGTTTTTCTTTTAATATTATTTATTAATAGGAACTTATCAAATTGTTTAATGTTTACATTAAAGATTTAAAAGGTGTATTTTACACTAGGATCAACAACAGCCTATCATACTCACCTAAAAATGATCCCAATGTAGACGAAGCTATCGCTCTTGTGGATTCATTAGGATTTTGGACTACCGTTGGTGTGGTAAGTGTAATTGTTAGTTCATTGAAGTCTAATATTAATCATAAATTTTCTAGGTTGAATACTGCATTACTGATGTAAAGAAAACATTTTATTCCATCTAGTTATTCGTTTTAATCTTTAATATATCCTGCGGTATTTCATGAAAAGTTCCTCAACATCAGCTAATAAAAATAGGTGAATAAAGTAAAGATAACTAGAATTTTACTGCGATGTAAACAGGTTGTTATGTAGCATTTCTCTTCGTGTTAACCACAAAATTATTGAATCAAGAAATCTCATCTGATCATATTCAGGCTCATATTCATCTTCAATAGGCTGTTTTAACATTGTTTAAAATTTCATTACTTTAGTTCCAGAGATAATTATTTGTTCTAGTATTCTACGTTTGCATAAAAGACTCTTCCAACTACTTATAAGAGCATTTAGCATGTTAACTGTGTATGTAGAACTAATGATCACGAATACATGTTGTCTTCTAGGCATGTATACAAGATCTTAATGTGGTAATTTGTGAATCGCTATATGTAAGAACCCTAAAGCACATAGCATAAGTTATATTAATGTAAAGAGGTAAGGGTTTCTTAAGTAACCTAATGTTCGCTAGTGATATTATGAAGGGTTCATCATATCTCTCCAGATTTTAATAGCCTCTCATACTCAGATTGATTTGTTGGGTAACTGGCATCATTGATGTCGGCAATCCCTTTCTGCGTTTTTAAGAGCCTGTTTCATTAGGACGTAATCCATATAATTGTAGCTGACTGATTAAATCCATATCGCTGTTGCTTATATTAAGTTTAGCAGTTGTGTGATCGAAATAGATTAGAATTGTCCTGTTTATGCTGCGCATAACTGGTTAATGGGATTGTTGGTCTAAAGTAATACATAAGTGTAATGTGATCACATGACTCAAGTTCTTGGTACCTGTGTGGTTTTCTTGCAAGTTGAAACTGTTCTGTTCAGCTTGTAGAGAGCCAAAATAATGTTTGGTTCTCCTAAAAACCAGTATAATAATAAATTACCTTTCTTTGGAGTGTGTATATAGATGTGAACAAATTGGTTAATCCTTTGATTAGTCTCATATATGAGGCTGTTTACGTCTAAACCCATACCTTAAAACTGTAAAACCGCGAATGGTTCACCAAATCAATTATACTTCCTTATATTGTAAACATTGAGTTGATAACTGCAGTAGTTCTCTAGAAATAACACATTCTTTTATGGCCTGAGCGTCATGAGAATAGGTGGATTTTGTAGAACAGAGCCAATATGGTTGTACTTTTGGTAAATGAGTTGTGTAATAATAATAACAATATTATCATTACTATTATTATTATCATTATCATTAGGATTATATGGTAATTCGCTTGTTTATCTCTGATTCCACTAATATAAGCGTTTACAACATAGGTAACACATTTCTAAATTAACTGCTAGTCTAGCTTCCAACAAGCGATTGCTGTATAGTCGAATTCATATTCTACTCTATTTCTGTTAGTCTTGTGACTAACCTAATGATGAAAAATTAATACTAGCTTACATATAATATTGTTTGTTTTGGAATATTTCATATAGAGAGATAATATTGACTTGACAGTTCATGTTTTCTTTCGGCAAATTTAATTCAATATTAGATCGTTAAAGTTTCCTCTAGTTAAAGTAGCAGGTGTCACATTAATTATTTCAATGGGTTCTCAATTAGACTACAAATATTACATCTTAAACCAAACTTTGAGAGATATAAGTATCATAAAAAATGTTGTAAGATTCAATAGTCAGTCAGTCAGCTACAACGTAAGATCAGGGATATATATGTATCAGTCCAAGTTGCGACACCTCATTAGTACAACAAGATGATCGCCAAATTCATAGTAGTTACTTTAATGTTAGTAATATATAAAAGGAAGACAAAGAATGTATGCACTTACGTCATTGTGATCGATTCTGAATCATGCCACCCAGAGTCTCCAACCATTGGTTACGATAGTCGAGAGAACTCTAATCAAGTAGTCTGCATCTACCAACATAGCTCAAACCAGAAGTTAGTGACTTTATGGACTGTTTATTGAAAATAGTCCTCCAATATCCTCGTTAATTAAACTCACTGTTCTAAAGGAACTGTTTGGCTATCAATATGAATAATCTAATGAATCCATCTAATGTAATGACAAACAACTGAGCTTCCTAATGATCAGTCAAGATGATAGTGTTCAACAACTTCTTTACCATATTAATGTTACAACATGAAAAATCAGTTGGATCCGATCTGAATTTATTTCACTATCCCTAAAAGAATATGTGAAGTTATCCGTCCTTATGCAAAATATGTAAATCATTTGTATTTTCTCTGAGTTTTTCTCAGTCGCTAATTAATTATCCAAAGTTTTTGAGAAAACAGTAGAAGTACGTAGAGTAACATTTGTGGTTTTTATACATTCATTGACCATTTAATATTACTCTTGTTTTCTCCTTCAAACAATAAACATTAATTAAATTAATTACTGTAACAAATTTGACACAATATTGCATAGATTTCCTGTTTTAAAACAATTATTTTTAATAGTACAATGATAAAATGTTTATGTAACTCATTTGCTAAATACATAGAGTTATTTACTCAGTTTTAGGTCATACTGTTTCATGTGAGGGTTACTAATTCTACTTAGGCTGCCTAATAAGCTAGTTTCAAAAATATTACTTATTAGTTAAAAGCTTAGTGCTTTAAGCACTTAGTCACAGCTCTCACGTTGATTTTGGTCAGCTGGGGGGTGGTGGTGACCGATAGAGTACCATTGACCTTCAAATAAAACTTTGTAGTTTATTAACTTTTAATTAGTAAAAAAGATAATGGGAGACAAATTCAGTAAGCCGCTTAGATTTTGTGAATAAATAGAATTGTCATCGAAGTTGTTTTACTAAGCTTTTTTCCCATCAATAAGTCGAAATGACCAATCTAAGTTACTATGACACAGGAACTCCACCATCTAGACGTTCTTTTTTTTTCTAGGACCTGTCCTTTACAACTGGCAACTTGCGTTTATTCCAAATTTTTTTATTAATTGAGCAAAACTACCGATCTTATTATCATTGGTATCATTACTACTACATATCTTAGTGTCTTGTCTTTAGCAATGATCTGGACAAGAAAACACTTATTTCTGCTGTAATCACCCCAGTGTCATGTCCAGTTAGGGAGTAGATTAGAATAGCCTAAGGATTTTTTATAGCTAGCACAATAATTTTCATTTTTTAAATCACGAGGGTGGATGTCAGGATCTCTTGTCTTTTTGATGTGATAGTAAAAAAATGAACTAAGTTTTTTGCTAGTTGTTTTTAGGGCCCGTTTAGTTCAACCGTTATACAGTAAAGCAGTTATATCGCTCTAGTTAATTGGTTCGCTTAGGCTGTCTATCTAGTGTCAATCGACGGCTAACCAGTGACACGACAATGGTGAGATAACAAACGACAATAACACTAAATGACTATTGGTACGAATTGTAGTTTTCCATTCTCTCTCTGATTATACAGTTGAATGTATGAGTCACTCATACAGTAATATAGCGTAAAATCCTGGCCACGTGTCAATATAATTGAGGGATTGCTATGTCCGCATAACTACGCCGTAAGTGGGAGAGGACTGAGTAATAGGTCCGTAAATAAGCAGCAGTGGCTTGAAAAAGGTACAATACATAATATCAGTATATACATTACTGGAAAACATGCAAGTAGGAGAACACAAAAACACAATAGTTCAACTATTTAGTAATTATACAACCAAAATTACAAATGACTTCAGGTAGGACCGTTCTGAAAGTTCTACACTGCTTAGTATTTATCCAGTTATAGCAGGTTTATGAGCATGTAACTATCAGGCAAGGCATAGGGATTTGTATAAATAATATATCCAGTTTGGATAAATGATTTATGCCATATGCTGTTCATTAATCTAATATGACTGAGGTTGAAAAACTGAACACTTGAGTTCTTACCCACCGATCTAAAGACGTTCACCGCAAAACATGATGTTCTCCCAGGTTTTATCATATGTGTTGTGAGTATACAACTTCTGAGAACACTGAAACAAAAACCAACTACCTGTCTGGTGCTTCCCGATTCCCATTGGTTCACTAATTGATATCAGTTTGCTATGTAAACTATTTTCATGCGTTATCACACATTTGGTTATATTTATTTGTGAATGCAAATTTGTTTTACTATTTTATCCCGAAGTGGGAAATTGTTTTTGTTAGTTTGAGAAGTATTGGATAGGTGATGATATTTTCATTAATTCTTTAAATCATATTTCTAGATATTTTGCAATGTAAAAGCCGCCAAAACTAATAAAGGACCGTTTTTTAGTAAAGGTATATGGCAAAATGTATCAGAGTCTGTAATTGCTTATCGTGATGGGAAACAGTCTGTTCAGACTGGTGATACACTTCCTAACGAAAAAAATAACTCATCCTCTGATCATACAGTTAAAAAGCGAGCAACAGCAGTCCTCGTAAATTGGCCTCGTTTAACAACACTACAACTGGCACTTATGCAACAGGCCTGGCTAATGCCTGTTTATGATCGGTTAGTTTTATTTTGAACCTACTGAAAATTAATAATTGAATTATTAGGTTTTTAGCTTGTTACTATGGGAAGATCTCTGTTGGTTTTTTCTTTGATCTTAATATTTCTCAATAAAACAACTTAAACTGGTGTACTTGTTACTTAAGATTCATCTGTTTCCTATGTGTGATTTCGTTTAATTATTTTCTTTGTAAGTTTGTGGAAAATCAGCTTAGTTTAGAAATAGTTTTCTTCACTAAGTGACATCTGAATAAGCATTAGAAACTAGTGAGCGTTGGATAGCTGTTTCGCTTTAAACAACTAAAAAAGAAACGGGATAGAAGAGACCGCATTATGGTCAGAACACAACATCGATTTTCGACTTGAATTGTGTACAGAAATACAAACTTCATAATCATGACGAAAAAAAAAACAATACAGAAACTCACAATTTAATAGCATAGTTCAGAGTATGTCGGATAAACATTAATGTATACATGTTATTTTTTTCAAATCTCGTGGATTTTGTTAACCAGTACAGGTTTATATACCCGGTTTCAAGTTGTGGTGTTTGCATATGAAGGTTTGTGATGTACTACTTGGTTGCTCGAACCAAAGTGGTTGTAGTGGATTTAAAATTTTAATGGTTGTATACTGAGTGGCCTAGCCACCATTACTCTTGTTTTTCCCCTAGTTGGTCTTCCGCTGTTTGTTTTTTAAGTTGACAACTTAAATCGCTAAATAGCCCTGTCACATTCTACTTTGTTTTCGTTTCCCTGGTAGCGTAACCAGTTTTCAAACATAATGTCTGGATTGACATAATCATAGCATATATAACCCAAAAAGCCCATAGAAATCCTGGTTAGTTAGTTAATCAAGCCACAAGCAACGTGAAACCTGGTACATATGTGCATCGGTTCAAGTTGCCACGCCATATCAGTGTAGCTAGATGAATTGTCAACTTAAAACAGTGTTCTTCATGGTTGTCCACCTTCCCTATTTTATTCAACCTCGTTATAGATATTCTTTTAGCGATAACGCTCTTGTCGTCTAACTTTTCAAGAATTGATCTCCTGAAAGATTCACTTGCTGACTTATAATGTACAAATGACAGTTCTGTTTGATGAAGACGCCTTGAACAACGATACAGTGGTGTTTAAAATGAGATTCTCTCCACCTAAATGCAACTAATTTGCGTTAACACTTTATCTACTAATGGGGGTGAATTGGTGTAGCTCGTCAATCACTTCACTTATTTTAGAAGTCTCATCAGCCCTGATGGATTAGTGTCTGACGAAATCTCTGCACGAATTTAGAAAGTTCGATTGGCTTTTCCCAACTTGACCTATTTATTTCGTAGACAAGATATCTGTCTGCCAAATAAATATCGAGTATACTGTACAGCACTTCACTCTGCTCTATTTTATGGCTGTGAAAAGTGGCCTTTAAAAATAGAAAATATAGAAAAATAGTATTCATTCGTAGTTATCTTGAAAATATCACTCGCGTATATTGAGACCGCCGAGTAAGCAGTTTTTACGTTGGACTCAGAGTATTAGGTAAAGAGAACAAATCGGTTGATGAGGTTGTGAATTTTTATTAGCTGACATTATTGGGACATGTCTTAATATAAGTTACTACCACCTACCTCGGCTGTTCATGATGACTGGTGTATGAGTATGTTTTGAGGTTTTACCAAAGTCAGGGGTCGATTCATGAATTCTTTGACTGTTGGACCGAGCCTTGTAGATAGATGCAGACTATCTGGTTAGTGTTCGCGTAATTATTATAACCGGTGGGTGGAGACGTTGGTTGATATCTCAGAACCGTTCACAGTGGTTTGAGTACATTCAATCTGTCTTCTCTTAGAATCTAAGTCCTGAAATCTTAAACCTCTTTTTCCTTTTTATACCTAATCGTTTACCCCACTACTAATATTGTTATCAATCATCCTACTCTGAGATTTGTTTCATACACATAGTTCCCTTTATTATTTTAAAGAGAGCAAGAACAAAGATTGGTGCTGATGAGAACCTAACGAAATAAAATGAATTCATATTATTCTGCACCAATCTTTGTTCTTGCTCTCTGAGATTTGTGTTGATTATTTTAGTTTGTTGTGGTAATTTAAAAAGATGCACATATTTACTTGATTCTTCGTTTGCATATGACTATGAACAAGCGAGTTAGACTTTTCAATATATACTTCAAAGTGGCATTTATAGCAGTTTCAATGGTATCAGAAAACCTTGGGCATAGATACTATCATTCGAGAAAAACAATAAAGTCGTGAATTAGAAAGTACCAGCTAATTTTAAAACTCGAAATCTAAGGTAAGACAAAGTGTGGATGCCTCTGACTGGAATTACTTCTGATCCTGATGGGAGTCTGTCTGGTAATCGTAGTTTATGGTTAGAGACCTTGTATGGCTGTACGGTTTAATTTTCTTTACTCAAGTTGCTACTATTATTATCCCAACTTAGACTTTCACCGTGATAATTTCCTTATGTTATACTGCTGCTAAGTGTGTAGATCTCAACTAGTTCTATATTGATGATTGACAGGAATCCTCCTCCTAAGCGTCACATAGACTTTATCTACTGTCATCCAACTGGATAGTGCTGTACTTTTTGGTCGATGAAACTTAATTTCCTTTATTTTCTGGAAAAAGAGTTGTTTAGTTTTTTTGCTGTTAATTGTAATTTCAGTTACACCATCGTTGTTCAGCTTTTTAATCTTCGATCTCGTACTCCAGAAGCAAAACTTCAAGCAAAGTTAGCTGAAATTGGATTACTTCGAGCTCGTATTCCAGCATTTTTTGAAACACCTAATATGATTAAATGCTTGGTTGATAGGTCAGATTTCGCTACAAAGGAACGTTTATTACAAATACTTAATGTAAGAGTTATTTATCAATTTGTTTTAAAAAACTTGTTTCGCAATAATTTTTCTAGGGTTTTAAAGCTGTGTTTCTTAGTCGAAGAAACTTTTTTCTTGTGTACTTTTTACTCTCACAATTAATAGTTAGTACGAAAATAATCAATGTAACAACAAGTACAAGTACAAGAGAGCGCCAATATATATGCGCCACACAAAACAATGAAAATTCGAGAGGAATATAAAGAAAGAAAGAAAAGCTAAGGAGCGCAACAAAAAAAGAGAGAACAATAACGAAGAGATTGGTGTAAGGTAATGTGCTAGTAATCAGGGAACGCAAAGGTACAATCGGAAGAAATCTTTCAGGTAAGGGAGACAGAACCACTTTTTATGAAGAAAGTAAAAGAAGGTTACAGCAGGATCGCCACTGGCTTCTATTCTGAGCCATATCTGATAACGTCTCTAGCCACTGTGTAGCACCATCTCTCAGACCCCAACCAGGGAGTCGTGCAGGACCAACACAAGCCAGTCCTTTGCAGCTTTCTTTCATGCCACGACACCATGTCATGCACTGACCACCTCTCCGCTTCTTCCAACCAGTCCCAGAGTCGGCAAATAATGCACGACGTGGAATTCTCTGGGACGACATTCGGAGAACATGTCCAAGCCACCGAAGTCGGTGTTTCAAGATGGTGACACCAATTGAATTATCATCTCTGTGCCCGAACACACGATGCCGAACCTCTGCATTACTGACATGGTGTTGCCACTGAATGTCAGCAATCCTTCGGAGACAGCGATGATCGAACACAGAGAGTCGTCTAACGTCCTCAACTCGGAGAGGCCAGGTTTCACAAGCATAGAGCAAAACTGCTCTCACCGACGCGTTGTAGATCCGACCTTTTACAGCCAGACTAACATCACGAAGGCGCCAAAGATGGCCCAGATTGGCATAAGCCGCTCTGGCTTTCACTATACGTGCATTGATCTCATCACTCACACCCCCACCAGCACTTATGCAGCTACCCAGATACACGAACTTCTCGACTACTTCTATCTGCTCACCATCCAGGGTGAGTACAGGATTGGAATCCTGCCAGTCTTGTAGAAGTACTTTGCACTTCGAAGGTGCAAAGCACATACCATACCTACGGACATTGATTGCCAACTGATTAAGTGCGGATCGCATGCCTTGGGCATTATCGCACAGTAAGACAATATCGTCCGCATACTCAAGGTCGAGAAGTCTTTCTCCAGGCAACAGGTCCACACCACCATTACTTACATTCATCAGAGCTGTTTCCAGAATGTCATCGATGGCAAAGTTGAAGAGGAATGGTGAGATTGGGCAACCCTGCCTAACCCCACTGCTCGAATGGAACAATGGAGAGAGGTGGTTGTATGCCCTCACTCTGCCTGAGGTGTTTTTATACAGGGCTTTTAGGATGTTAATAAACTTCTCAGGCACACCCTTCTTCAATAGACAATCCCAGAGAACAGTCCTGTCCAACGAATCGAAGGCAGCCCTGATGTCAAGAAACACTACGATTGTTGGCCTTTGATAAGTATGGCGGTGTTCTAACATTTGGCGGAGGGTGAAGATATGATCAATACATCCTCGACCAGAACGAAACCCAGCCTGCTCCTCGCGAGTCAATCTTTTTCGGGTTTTGAACAACCTACGAAGTATGACGGAAGCCAATAGCTTGGACGCAATCGGAAGTAGATTTATCCCCCGATAGTTGTTACAGGAACGACGTGAACCCTTTTTAAAGATAGGGACAACTATCGACTCATTCCATGACGTTGGTACACTCTCTAGTTCCCAAACCTTTGTAAACAACGTCGTCAATTCCTTAGTCAAAAAGTCACCACCATCTTTAAAAAGAGCCGGAGGTAAGTCATCTGGGCCAGGTGATTTGTAACGCTTCAAGAGTTGGAGTTCCTTGCGGACTTCCTCCTCGTTTGGTGGATCAGTCGTCACCGGCCATGGAGGGCAGGACAGTCTGACCGATGTTGCCGGAGCAGCAGGCCAGTTGAACTGCCCTTCGAAAAATTCTGCCCATCGTCCAAGACGTCGATGGATGTTAGTGATTGGCATCCCATCATCCTCGCAGATTGTTTCACTCACACCAGACTTCTTGCTGCCAGTGGCTCGGATTAGTTGGAAGAGCTCCCGGTAGTTACCAGATGCAGCTGCTGCTTCCAGCTCATTAGCGCACTTCGACCACCAGGCTTCTCGGTCCTTACGCAAGCTTTGCCCAATTTTCTTACGTAACATCCTTCGTTTATGGTCAAACTCACGGTCACCCGGAGTAGACCGATGGGGTTCGATGTGTTGTAGGAGCCTGAAGAGACACAGTGCTTATAAGCGGGACGTTTCGCAAACCAACAACTGACTGTTCCCGCCATTTTCATGGCGTCATGCAATTGCAACCAATGCTCATCTATACTTTTCGGTGGAGTGGTAGCTAGCCTAGAGGCTAGCTCGGTTCGATACTTACTTGCAACAGAAGTTGCAACCAGCTTGCTAACATCAATCTTTTGGTGGTGGTCACTTCATTGGCCACTGAAAAGTAAGGCAAGATTGGCGCAGACCAAGGCATGGTCAGAGTCCAGATAGGTACTCCAAAAGGAGCGGCAGTCTTTTACACAACCACGCCAGCGGTAGCTGATCGCGATGTGATCAATCTGAGTCCAGGCTTGGGATGCAGAGGGAGGACGCCAGGTGGCACATCGGCGATGACTGTGCCGAAAGTTAGTGCTAGCCAGAAACAGGTTGTGGTCTGTGCAAAGTTGCAGTAGACGGTCCCCGTTGTCTGTCCTGCGACCAACAAGTCCCCATCGGCCACCTAAACGACTCTCTTCTGTGCCTAGACGCCCGACCTGAGCATTCAAGTCTCCGGCTAGTACTACAATATCTGTCGAACGCACTTTCTGGAGAAGAACAGATAACTGGTGGTAAAACTCATCCGGGCTGCAATCTGTCGGGGCATAGGCGGAGATGACGAAAAGACATCGTTTCTCACGCCGATTTCTTCTCACTTTGATGGAACTTTCTAATCTAACAGCACATAACCGACTGTTAATGGGGATCCAATCGACTAGTGCTGCCTCAGCTCTAGCGCTTAGAGCGACACCAACGCCAGCAAGACCAGACGAAGATGGCACAGGGTCCCCGGATAAGCGCACGTAAAACAAGCTTTTTGAAGTGACAGATGGAGGGCGAATTTGTAGTACTTCACCAGAGTCTTTAATACGGGTCTCGGATAGACAGCAGACATCGATATTAAGACTTTCCAAAGACATAGCCAGCCCTATCTGTTGACCAACCTGCATAAGTGTGCGAACGTTGAAGGCAGCCAGTTTGAATGGCGCACGTGGTTTCAGAAAAACTGCTTCAGTACTCATATTCGATGGTAACATACAATTTTCGAGCGGATAGTGACTCGAGAACGTTTAGATACAGTCGGATTTCCACCAAAGACGAGCCGCTGTATAAGTATAAAAGAGGGTGAATAATGTGGAAAATAATAATAATAATAATAATATAATAATAATAATAATAATAATAATAATAATGACAATAATAGTATAATAATAGTATTAATAATGACAATAATAGTAATGATAATTATTTGAATCGATTGATTGTTTTTCGGAGCGAGAAAAGTAGGTGCCATAGACATAGAGTTCATCGTTTGTGTGTGGGCTGTGATACTGCCCGGGTGCCCAAACCGAAGCAGGTGGTTATCTTAGGGGGCCACTCCCCGAGCCTTTGACCTAAAGGTCTAACCCACAAGGCACTGGAGGATCGTAAGGAGATGCAATCCCATGGTAGCCGGTGACCAAAGATTGGTTCATACGCCATTTGTTCCCGCAGGATACTGGAGCCCATGTGCACCATTGGTTTGTGATCCGGTTAAAGCGCCGGACATTCGCTTTTCGTCCTCTCATTTTCGTAAACAACACCCCCGTCACGAGAAGGCAATGAGTAGGACTTCCCTGGCAGAGGCTGTATACGCGCGGCCGTGTGAGAGTATTTCGAGAGGGAGAGCGGACTCACCCCACTCTCGGCCGTACCAGGGCATTCGGGGGCAATGTAACAACAGGACTAATTTACTGTATAGCATTTGAATTCCTGCAGCAGGCGATCATATTTTTTTCTCTACTACTATTCATCTGAGTAGATAAAAAGAATATGTGTAGAATTACTGTCTGATTGTAGATATTGAACCGGTCAAGAAAGTATGCATTCTGAAGCAGAATTGTAACAGAGTAACACTTATATCTGGTTCGTTTCTCAGTATTACTTTCTGTTGCGTAGCTTGCAGACACCAGTCATGTGAAATAAATAGACTTTTTCCAGTTTATTTATATCTAGTCAAAGACTATTCAATTTGTTTAACCTATTTAAACTCTATTTGGAAAATGAATCTACAATCAACTATAAATGTTTAAAATTATGATTGATACAGTAAACCAATGAGACCTCGACTCAATGATAAGCCTACGCCGTTGGTCAATATCTGACGTCATTTTCTAAGGAATAAAATATGGCTTATATACATAGTTATTTCTCGATCTCGTTTGCTAATTAAACGCTTGCTTCTCACTCAAGTGCCGAGTCGGGGTTGCGAATAGGGAGCTTGTTTATCAGTTTCAGGATCAAAAACCTCGCAACACAATAACGATGTGGTCTTTCTTGGTGAGTTACACTGACCCACCCGTTCGTTGGGTTTGTAAGAGTGAATAAATAAGAATATTGTTCGATGGATGATATCTAGTACCTGATAGATAACTGGTGACGAGGTTGAATTATTGTCGCAAGTTCCCCGAATGAACCCTTATCAAAAGAAGTGGAATTTTTAGTCAAGAGGATAAGTCATTCTTCTCTAGTAAAATATTGTGCTTATCTACAGAATGTCGATTGCATACCCAAACATGATTAAATGCCAGTTAACAAACAAGTGATTGTAGGTCACTTTTGTTTCGTCAGATATCTTATTTTTATTCAATTTTAAATAAATTTTATTGGTTTTTCTGATTGCAAAAAATCCTTCCCAATTTTACTTTCATTATAGCAGACAGAAGTTAGTCTTTTAAATCAACTGGAAAAAATTTCCAAACAACGTATTCATCATAGGCGTAATCATAGACGAGATATGGAGAAACATCATTTACCACTGGTTGCTGTTGTGGGATATACCAATGCTGGTGAGATATATAAGTTTAGATTTGTTTTTTTGGCGGATCCATCTCCAAGTGTCTATTTTCTCCAGTTCAGTAAACATAAAACAAATTACAACAAAATTGTTGAGTTTTATAAGCAAAGATGTAGCTCATTGGGCAACAAACTCTTGTCAGTTATATCTAAACAGAAAAACCGACAAAAGAGAGCAAATTGAATATTATCCATATAGTAAACTTTACAGACTCCATGAGATGCTATGTTGGACAAAGTGTCCGCCAATTTTGTCATCATCTAGATAAAGAACAAACAGGCTTCTTCAAAGTTGGTGTACCGCTTTAGATTAATTGTTACTCAGTGTATTTTCCATTCATCTATTGGAACTGTAGATGATTAGCGGTCGACTGGTTATGCCTTTCTTATTCTTTTCATTCCGATTTTCTGAATCGGTGTATATTGTATGACAATAAGTTTACTACGTAGTCTAAAGTAGTTTTAAATATAATCTGTCGACTTGCATAAGTGCTGCTAAAAACTAAATTTTATTAAATCCATAATTCACTCTTATTTTTAGTGGTGTCTCTAAGGTAATTTTTTTTACATGACTTTTGTCAATGAATTTTCCGGATAAGTGACTGTTGCTGACTTCTCTTTGGACTCAAGACATGGCATAGAAAAAAGCTCGTGGATAGCGGATCAATAGGAGCTACTTAGCTTGCGTTTGTCCAAGTTTAACTGTTCAGGTCAGACATATAATTGTTCAGTTGAGGAAGCTAAACCTTAGACGCAATAGTAGACGTGGGATAAAAATGACTACTCAGAATTCTGATTGCTGGATTTAGCATATTACATCAGTTAGCGTCTCAAGTCGTAGCAATAAGTGGTAATATTTTTATTAGCTTCAGTAAAAGTTCCCATGTGGTTGACTGACTGACTATGTTGTTATACATTTTTATTTTTCCAGTGCCTACTACATTTTAAATCATGAAAATATATAGCCGAATATTAACATTTGTTTAGATATGCACAAATTATTCCCGCCTATCGTTTTCTAATCACAATACTATTATGATTTTTTTCAAAACAACCCAGCTACTCTTATTGCCTAGCATTCTTCGAACACCTTATTTCATTTCACAAAGTCCCCAAATCAAAACAAAGTTGAACGTAATTATATTCCAAATAAACAAGGTCGAATGAGAGGAAGAATCACAATAATAAAATGTCACTTTATTTAAAATTTTATATGAGAAGATTCTAGTGTCTTCTCCAAGTATTCTCTAGCTCTGATTGGCCAAAAAACAACCCGTCAGCGTGCTCCAATAAAATCTTGCACAGAACATTCTTTAATCCAATTTATATCCCACCAATTGAATTTTATGCTTTTACGTGAATATTTCACTTCATTTTCATTCTTCCATAGGTAAAACAAGTCTTATACGCTATTTAAGCAAATCAGACAAACTTGCTTCATCCCCAGAAGTGTTCGCCACTTTGGATATCACACATCATCGAAGTCGGTTGCCTATACTTCCAAATAAAGTAGAAGAGAACAATATGACTTCTGATCAGTTGTTTTCTGAGAATGGCAGCGATGGTGGTTGTTCTAATAGTATAGGGTTGCCTGGGATACAAATGTTACTGTTGGATACAATAGGATTTATGTCTGATCTTCCAACAAATTTATTGGCTGCGTTTCGAGCTACTTTAGATGAATGTTTAGATGCAGTGAGTTTGTTACGTGTCTGTATTTCTTTCATTACACAATCTCATGTAATCAAATTACGGATTAGCTTGTTGTTTTCATTTGAAGGAGTTTTTACCACTATAATGGTATTCATATATCAACTTTAAATGATAAATGTTTTGCCTTGAATCCCGGAAACTACCCCCTTTTGAAGGGATGACACAAGCTTATATTTCAAATTCTTATGCGTTTTTCATCTGTTGTATTGTGCTAGCTGACAAAATTTATGATACGTACACATACACATTTATACCAATTAGGTAATTGTTGTCGTGTTTCGAAGATACTGCTGTATGTTAGCGCTCACTAGACTTACAGTATTTTTAAGAATGTAACTTATTGCCAAAATTCGGATTGATTGTTCTTACCTCCGCTTTTTAATTTGATGTTTGAAGTTTTTAAATCAAAAAATGTACAATGAAATCTACCTATTCGTAACTTTTGTTCTTCCTGTGTTACTACATTCACTTAACCTATGTTCGTTTTGTTGTTCATGCTATTATCCATCAATTTTAGGATCTAATTTTGCACATAGTTGATGTAAGTCAACCTGAATGGCAATTACAAGTGAATCATGTAGAGGAGCTGTTGTGCAATATTGGTGTTATAAAAAAACCGACAAATTCTGGACACACAAACGATTCCAATGCATTTGAACCACCTCAAGTGTTAAAAATCGGTAACAAACTAGATCGAATGTAAGGAAAGTAAGAGGTCATTTTCTTGTTGACTTTTGTGAGAATGTGTAATATCTGAATTCCAGATTAATATAAGGGTATCATTAAAGTATAAGGTCAATTTATTTCTTGTTACATAACAGTACAATCTTGCCTAGAATATAAAGGTGTATACGATAAAGTACACTTTGCTATTTCGTCAAAATGTTGTTGCTTGGAATAAGGGAAACTTTTGTTTGCGATCCTGTAAGGTCTCATATTTAATCATAGACGTTTTGTCATCAGAATTCGTGACTTTATCAAAAGCGTATGAATATATGAATTGGCATGGAAATGCCAAAAATGGTAATTTGTATGTATATCAGTATTAAATTTGCAGACTTTTAAAAAAATCTTTTCATCACCTGATAAGTGTATTATCTAAAGAACTGATGGTTGTTTGGAAGCTTATCCTGTCTGGTTCCAAACACGATGAAGAGCGGAAGCAACTTACTTAGGGTGGTTAAAAGCCTACCCAATGATTGTGAGCAGTGGTAGGTAGCGAAAGAAAACGAGATGGAAAGGTAGCGGTGATAGGTAATAGCAGGTAACTATTTAGACTTATCAAGGAAGTGCGTATTAAAAATCCGGCTGTTAATGAAACCATCTCGGAAAAAGATGCGAATATTATTCACTCTCAATTCAAGAGAGTGGACCAAAGGGTAAACCAGTCCAACTGACCTTCAGGTTCTGTGGCAGTATCTGTCATTCGAAGGCGTACTGAAAAATGCACCAACCCTATTCAGGTTCTGTATTCGAACACTACTGGTCGAGTCAGAGCTTATTAGAAACTGCTATTAAAATTCTTAACTTCAAGTGGTGTTCGTCATGGTTGTCTACTTTCCCTATTTTTATTTATTTTTATCATAGATATTCTTCAGAGAAAACGCTCCCGTTTGATTTTTCAGTGGTTGGTCACTTATCAGAAGATTCACTTTCCGACTTATTACTTGGAAATGACATAGTTCTGTTTGATAAAGACACTGAAAAAGTCTTGCGATCAACTTGAGCAATAATGCAAGCATTTTTTAATGTGATTCTCTCCCCTCTAAATACAAAGTTTTACTTCAGGACTGACCTGCATCAGCACCTGAGTTAATGATATGGAGTGAAGTAGTAACGCGTATCGATCATTTCACTTATTTTCGGAGTTTCACCAGTCTTGGTGGATTGGTGTCTGACAAAATCTCTACACGAATTCAGAAAGCTCGATTGGCCTTTCCCAACTTGACCTATTTATGGCGTAGACAAGATATCTGTCTGCCAACTAAATAACGTGTATGCTGTGCAGCCTTTCGCTCTGCTCTATTTTATAAGTGCGAAACAGCCGTTAAGAATTGAAGATACTCGTAGGTTATTAGTATTTAATCATAGGTGTCCGGAAAGCATTTCTCGTGCATTTCAGTTCTACTGAATAAGCAGTGCCGAGGTTAAGCGTATGGTACTAGATAAAGATGGTAAATCGATTGATGGGGTGGTACATTCTAGTCATATAAGGTGGTTGAAACATCTATTTCATATAAACGACCACTGCCTACCTCAATGGGTGGTCTGATCTGGGGGTAGGTTAAAAAAGATAGGTGTAGTCAAAACAAGACTTGATACCACCTATAAAGTCATTATTAATTGGACTGAGGGATGTTAATTGGTGCAAACTACCCGTTTTGGGGTTTGTGTGACTATTTTAACCGTTGGTTAGAGACTTTAAATGACATGGCTCAAAATCGTTCGCGGTGGCTCAGGTGCATCGACTCTGTCTTCTCCCAGATCCTAAGTTTCTAAATTCCTGATAATGTTTTTGTTCCACCGATTTGTATCTTCTTGAAGCATATATTCAGTGTCTAATCTTCTCTGTTACCACTTCTACTACTCCAGGATTTGGCCTAGCAATTTCATCCCGCTGTGCTAATGAAGTATGGAAACCTGATCCGGTGTACACACATGGTAGGTTCTACGTTGCATTCGACTTAAGTGATTGACTGCACCCGTTGCTGGCATGTAAATAAATCATCATTCGTTGTGACATGAAATATCGGCTATTTTTTATGTGGAATTCACTCTGGAACTGTTGATGGAGGGCAGAATGTGTTAATTCCCCTAGAAATCACTTACTAATTATTTTGTTATTTTAGAGATTTGAATCTCTATTTTGCACACCAAGTCTCCCTACGGTAGTTATCCTTTAGTTTATAGTGTTTAAAGATTTTTTTAATTGACTCTTAGCTCTTTAACCATAGCAGGGTTTGCCCTATTTTTAAGGTCATTCTCTATAATGTGGTTGTCCGCTTGTATTGGTTGCTTAAATCAATCCTTTTTGTCTTACTTGCAAGATGTTTTTGCAGTAGCTGTGGCCAGAAGGAAAATAGAGGCTGTGGTATCCAGATATCAGAGTCAAAACTAACAGTTACTGACATTAGTTTAACGCACATTAGAAATCGTTTTGGTAAACACTTAGTTGACTAAAATTAATCACCATATATAAAATGGTAGGAGTTAAGTAGCTGATACATATTTTACTATAAACATTATATATTATGTACTTATTAAGTTACTTTGTTTTTTTTGTATGAACTTTTTAGTGAATCAAATGATGTGTACACTGGATTTGATGCATTAATATCTGCTAAAACTGGGACAGGTATGAAAGAGTTGACTTCAAAAGTTCAACTAGCTTTAATGAAACGTCTTGGATGGTTTTCACGCACCTTGGATGTTCGCCAAGGTGGTCCTAGTTTTCAGTGAGTATTGGTAATCCTAATATAGTAATTCTATCATCTGTTTCATCCGTAGTATCTAAATTAACTGTCAGATTTACAGGATTATAAAATCTCAGATAAGAAGAACATACAAATAATTTGTAGAAACATATTTGTCTGTTATTAGAGGTGAAAAGTGCTTAAAACACTTAAGAATTTTAGTTTTCCTATATATGCTTGTATAATAGTCATTCTTTTCTCAAATGATACTGGTCATTTGAAGTCGGAAATTCGGTTATGTGCATAGAGTTTAATCGGTAAGATTTTTCATAACCGGGTTGGTGGATGTGATTATTTAACTAACGTGAACGTTATCAGCGAAAATGTCGAAGATGTATATTGTGATTATTAGTCGGATTATGGCCAAAACCTGAATTGATACCTTGTTTAGTTGATACTACCCCTAGTTTTTCCTGCCTGAAGTCCACTCAAACTAATATACTACTTCGAGGTAGAAAGTTCCTCCACTTATCTAATAAGTGTCGTATTTAAGTATGTCTACAATCTAACATATATTTTTAACTCTGTACTTGACCTCAACATTGATCAATCAGTAGATCAACTAATCAGGAGAGGTGTATTATATACATCGGTAATCAACTTCCATTAACAAATCTCTCATTCATACCTCTTAAAACAGATAAGATGTTTGACTCCTAGTGTTAGCCCTACGACTACCAAATGTTCTATCATCTCTCAGGTTACGATATAACAGGCTACAGTATGACAGTACGGAATGATACCTGTTTAAGAGGAACATTTAAGGTAGAACTTTTTGAGCGGAAATCTTTTTGTGCTGGTCTATATATATGTTTAGATACAATGAAGAATCCTCAATTTAACTTGAACTGAATCTACTGGAACTGAGAATAAATCGGACTAGCTATATTTATTATCGTAACTGTTAGGTGATCAGATACTATTAATGCACAAGCACTTTAATCATTCTCATTTAATTCAGCCATTCGAAATTAGAAGTTTACAATCTACGCAAAAATAACATACGTAATATATGTATTACAACACTAAAGCATTTGATGGTAGTTTCGATAGCGATTTTTAAAAATTGTATTTCTATCTTTAATATCAATCATTAACAAGTATGTAATTCCAACGAGTGGATTTTTATTTTGTTTTTATAGATGGATTTATTCTAATGCTATGGTCACAAGCGTGGACACCTCCCCTTCGAGTTCAGAAAGGCTTAGAATAACTGCAATATTCACTCCTGTCGGTTGGATTAAATTTTGCAGAACATTTAAAATGGCATCCTCTGAAAATGTTTCGTAATATTTCATATAGTGATATACTTCATGAATATCAAACACTGTAATTTTCTTCTTAAACCATATCCTTTTACAAATTGTTTGACATGTAACATTGTTCTGTTTTCATAAATTATTTTTTAAGATTTGTTTTAACAAAAAGTATAAATGTCGACCACACTATTGTCTTCAGATTAAGGTGTACAGATTAAAACTAGACAATTATAGTACTGTATAGATTTTATTTTGAAATATTTACTTCTTAGTATTATGGACATTTTTATCTATAAAATTTAATCATATTCTTTATCAGTTATTTTAATTAAAGTACAAGTTGGACGTCCATGTGCGCATTGGAAAGGTATACGACATCTTGAAAGTTCAATTATAAGTTTCTCCATTTGCTTTCTGCTAAGTTTACTTCCGAAACGAATTGCTTGATGACAAGCTCGACTTTCTAAAAGGGGATGAATCGCTTGCCTGAAAACGAAAGAAAAATTGTTTTATTTAAGTCGTAAATTACGTTAATTCTAACTGCGCGAACGCACCAAAACAATGTAAAGATTTTTGTGCTTATACGCTTACCATTTGCAGTATATTATTCAGCCTGTTACATGGTTTACATGCATGTCTATCACACAAACGGGAACTATCGATATTCATCTTGAATGGCTTACTAGATTATTTACTTCTAATACCTACCTTCACTATATAAATGACACCTATCGATTTTGTAATGTTTATAATCGTGTGTAACCACAATGATAAACTGACTGAGAAATATTCCTGCTCAGTAGGGACTTTCTCAACTTTATTTTTTCCTACTGAACATCAACTTTTACTATATTCCACCCTTTAGTTACTACAATTCGCAGAGTAATACGAACAAAAACCTTTTTTAGATGCTAACTAAAACTTTTTGTGGCTTGGTTTCGAGATGATTCCGTAGGCTTCGCCTACCAATCACCTTGATAACCGTTATTATATAAATCCCAACGGTGTTTGAATTCGGAGGGCAATAAGAAGCGGCAGCTATAGTTTATTAGCGGATAGCACAGATAACCAAGTTACAAGCACTTCGAGCAGAAAGGCCAGTGTATTTGTGAGTGAATACAGATGTGAATTTATAGTCATATCGAACCAAGGCAAGGTAAAGGTTATTAGTGCTATTCGAATACATATATACATGGAAAAGAGAATGATTCATCGAGTAATATTTAAGTTAGGGGGAGATATGCGTGTACGCTGTCACATGTGATCAAGTATACACGTTTATACAGACATGATAGCGATCATAATAATACAAGTAAATATACGAATTCTTAATGTTCGAACAATATTGTATGTTAAGTAAGTTAATAAAAGGGCTCGACAAAAATTAGTCGTAGGAGTGTTCCTGTAATATCATCTTTTGGTATCTGTAATTATTTTTTCTTTAGGTCCAACTTTACACATTTTGCGTACTAACTGTTACGAGTAGTTGTTGCTGTTAGCACAGACCCATAACGTACATTAAATTGTTCAGAATTATTTAGACAAACACGCCAGTTACCACTTCTGGAGGAGCGTAGGCCACCAACCAGTACTCTCCATCCAACCTTGTCCTGGGAAATCCTTTCCAGTTGCTATTCATCCTTTTCATGTCTGCTTCCGATTCCCGACATAGCGTGTTCTTCGGTCTTCCTCTTTTCCGTTCCCCTTTTGGATTTCAAGTTAGGGCTTGCCTCATGATGCATTTTGCTGATTTCCGTAATGTATGTCTCCTATCCATTTCCAACGTCTTTTCCTGATTTCCTCTTCAACTGCAGCTAGTTCATTCTCTCTCACAGTAGACTGTTGCTGATGGTATCCGGCTAACGGATATTGAGTATCTTGTGTGAACAAATGTTTATAAATACTTGTGCCTTTTTGATGATGGTTGTAGTAGTTCTCTACGTTTCATCTCTGCACAGTAGGGCTGTCTTGAAGTTCGTATTGAAGATTGTGACCTTGACATTGGTTGACAGTTGTCTTGAGTTTTATATGCTCTTCAATTGTAGGAATGCGGCCGTTATATTTTCGATCCTTACATTTACGTCTGCATCCGATCCTCGTTGTTCATCGATGATGCGGTACGCGGAAGACCCCACATCTTCCAGTGTTTCTTCATCAAGTGTGATTAGGTTGGTGTTCTCCGTGTTGTATTTGAGGCAAACTACCAAAGTCAAATAAACTTTCACCAGAAAGTGAGAACTTGTTAGATATTATATTCGTGTTAGCTTTAAATGTCAACTAAACTTCTGTTTGTCACATGAATGGTGTGTATATGACCACTAGAGTTTGGATTGGCTAAACATTTTCGTACATGAATGGTTTATTCACTTTTGATAAGGCATCCAGCGATAGTTATTTTACTTGAACTATGTTCTAGCTGCTCTCACACGTTATGCCTCTCTTGGATCAACACACGACTTACATCATTAGTAAAAATCCCTGCTCTAGTACTACACAAATGAGGGATATTATTATGATATCTTTGGTACCAAAACCTGCAAAGCTGCGGCAGCGTCTAACACCTATCTCATAAAACATGAAATAATCAATATAGTTTACATTATGTATCAGTTTTATACCAGTGATTAGCCAACAATTTAGTTAACAGTGGGATGGAACTATTTGTGACGTATTATTAATAGTGACTTTAAAATAGGAGCGCATTTGAAAGATATTGAATCCATAGTTTTAAATTTTATAATCAGTTCTCAGAACCTTCGGATTCAGTATATAAATATATGGATTTTGATGGCTGACTTACACAGGGCCTCAGTTAAATAATTACGGCCAGCCCATATTTTAGAACAATAGCTGGCACATCTTTGGATATCTGGAAGTAAGGATTGACTTTAGATCTTGAGTTTCGACGTTTCCTAGTTTTTATCTTCAAGTATAAGTTAATGTCACAGAAGCGTTCGATATAATAAATCACGAACCGTTTTTACTTTTTTCATACGAGACTGATAATCCATATAGCCAATACAAAATACTTTAACATAATCGAAATAAAATCCGAATTCTAAATTTTACACAAGTTAATCAGGATCTTGGACTTCCCATCAACGTCTTGAAAGAAAATTTGATTATCGCAGCGATAATCCCTCTTACAGCTTACTAATTCAGTGACTTATTATACTTATATGCGGGGATGGACTTTCATCTCTAAATCCAAATTGTAGATGATTACACCTTATGTTGTTTTTAATCTCTACAGACATTGCTAATCATTTACTAGTTGAGTTTCTTGCTGTTTCTTTACCCTAGGATTAGTTCACGAGAACTAGAAGATACTGGTAACTTCTGTTAAGGATTGAACTAAATAGATCGTATCATTGTATCCTTATCAATTTGGCTACTACATTTGCCAGCGTCCTCAAAAAATAAAATGATTCAAGACAAGCTGTCTAATCTCATGCAATCACAGAATCTGCTAGCACCAGAATAAAGTACTTTGGGTACTAAATATTTCTTCAACAAATCTCTTTGAGAAAGGATTGGAGATATAGCTGAAGATAACAGTCCGTCTACTGATCTATTATTCATTAACTAGTAAAACACCCAGGTGGTTTACGTAAGGTTGCACATAAATCTAACGATATTATACAAGGTATTATGTAGAAGGAAATTAACCGTAGTATGTAATTCTATGTGATCATTAGTAGCACAAAAATACAAGGTGGTAACAGTAGATTACAAAGATGGTCCTGGAAATGGTGCATGAAAATTGACTTCGGCAAGAGTTTACAAATTCAAGTCAGTCGCAGCAATAGTCTTTGATATAGTAGCAATAAACATCAGCACCACAAGTCCTGAAAAAAACAAATTAGGGAGTAATTCCAGACCGTAGATTGCAAACAACAGAACATTGATATTCAGCAGCTGTTAAAGGGTTTCACGTGTTAAAATTCTACTTGGGAACCATTGTAAAAACTTGTCTAAAATATGTTTAATAATTTCACCAAGTCTGCCTAAAATATCACATGTAAGTTTGCTCAAGCTCCATCAGAATGAAAGTCTTGGATTTCGATAAATAAAAGATACTAGTTTGATAACCGTAACAACAAATATTTTGTAGAAAGTGTTACTGAAACGCTTAGGAATTTTTCTTAACTTAATTTTGAAGTACAGAGTCGCCTTGTGTTATTATTCGGTACCCTTAATAATGAGTTTGGTGACAATAAGTTTTCTTATACTCTGATGACAGCCGTTGGTATATGAGAACATTGTCGGAAGTTCACGAAATTATGACTGAATGAATCTATATTAGGACTCTCATTTTATCACAGAGGGGCCGATTGCTGAATACCAACAACCGTTTTGAAAATGAATATTGGATATTTACGAGGATATTGCAAAGTTTAACACATCAACCGACTGAATTATAATACAATTAAGGACTTTTAATATATAAAGTAAAAATACATATGACTTTCGGCGACATACATGATCTGGTGTATAATACTGACGTTTGATTCCTCCTGATTTAACAGTATAACCCGAATACAACTCGCGATGATTTTCCTAAGGAGTTTTTCTGACGAATGACTTTGAGGAATTACTCGAGGGATCATAGTAACGATAATAGATTGCTCCATGGAGTTACAATCAAGAATAGCTGAGAACCCATATTTTAATAGCCAATATAACTTAACTTGTTCTTGGTTCACTAAATTAAAGATATCGGGAACCAATCGCCTTGATAGTTTTAAAGATATTTTCCTGGAAAATATTTTCAAAAGTTGGAGTTCACGTGTTGCTCTATTTGAAGACATTTCAAAATGATTCAAGCACTCCTTCTCAAAAAATTCAACAAGTATTCTCTCATGTGCAGCATGTTGATCAACTGCAATAATGTAGGAATGTTTATATCTGTATCCATGTGGTTTAGAGAATGGTTCTTCAAACAGTTGATAATGTCTACTTTTAGCATTAGCAATCAGCAGGATAAACTTTTTATCAAACTGACCCACCACTCTAGCTTCTCTTAGACTATCGACAGTCAAACAACATTCATCGTCCTCGTCATAGAATGTAGTGCACGACAACATATTACACAATATATATTATGCACACTACAGTTCCTTAAAACAATCAGATGTACAATACCAGAGAGTTGCGTTTTCGAATTACATATATGTAGTAAAATGACTCATCCGTTATTTCGTTCCAATGTGCTGCCGCTTATTACTGGTTCTAGGTTACTGATAGTGTAGTGGGAATCCGGTAGAGGTCTCGTCAAATGCCTGTCGTTTGTTAGATCATAATAGAAATATGGGGGAAAATCGAAAAACTATGGCTGAGACAAGTCTGAAGAGAGAGATTAAGTTAACGAGTCTTAAGTTTAGTTTATTAAAATTATAGTGAGACTACGAAATTTTAGCAGGTTTGGCAAATTTTATAGCTTTTGTAGGACCAGTGAAATGTCACTGAGCCCTAGCCAAATCATCCGGCAGTTGGATCACTGAATGTCGAACAGATCGTCGCTCCCTGTCAAGGTCATGTACAACAAACGCGCATTAGTTAATCATACGCCATGGACTGGCCCATGCGGCAGTGGTCTTACTTTCGCCTGTATCTACCTTAACTAATATATTTCTGTAATAACGTCCTTTGTGTTGTACAGTCTTCAAAGCATCTATAGTACCTTGTTACGTCAATGGGGGTAGTCCACGTAAGGTGCTGACCACGAGGTGTGACTTCGACGTTAGTTAGTTCGTCACACCATTCACGTCTAACTCGAGTAGGCCTCCAATCATTTCGACATAGATCATCTACGTTGGTGATCTACACTTTCATTGTTTAATGGATTCGGCATGAAAAATTTGATAGCCTTAAAATTTTTTGCTCTTTTTATGTTAAAATCTTTTATCGTATTCATCATTGCAGTGTTAGCAACAATTTAGTATTGCGACTCTCACATTAGTGAGTAATTCTGTCGTGCGCTGAAATTACTACACAAAACAATATATACACATGTATCCCATTTATTTATTTTTTTGATCACATAAACACTGGTACAAGTGAGCATGAAATACATATGCGTCACACGATAACAACAGGGTTGCGAGGGGAAAATGTATAGTACGTGTGATCAGAAGGACAAAATCTGACAGAAATTAATGTACGGGAGTGAAGTAATAATAATGAGAAACAGTTCATTTAGGAAAAATACAACAAAAAAGAATTCTTTGGGTTAAAGAAGTTGCATTCATTTTTATGAAGAAAGTTTAAGTAGGATCGCCACTAGCTTTTATTCTGAGCCATGTCTGATAACGTCTCTAGCCACTGCGTTACACCATCTCTCGGACTCCAACCGCGGAGTTGTGAAGGCCTAACAGAAGCCAGTACCGTGCAGCATTCTTTCACACCACGATACCATGTCATACACTGGACAGCTCTCTTTTTCCAAACGGTCCCATTGTCGGCAAATAACTCACGACATGGAATTCTCTGGGACGGCATTCGTAGAACATATCTAAGCACCGAAGTCGATGTTTCAAGATAATGACATCAATTGAATAATTGTCCCAGTCCCGGAATACACGATGCCGAACCTCTGTATTACTAACATGGTGTTGCGATTGTATTTCAGCTATCCTTTGGAGACAACATTGATCAAACACAGAGTCGTCTAACATCCTCAACTCGGAGAGGCCAGGTTTCACAAACATAGAGCAAAACTGCTCTCACCGACGCGTTGTAGATCCGAACTTTTACAACCAGACTAACATCACGAAGGTGCCAAAGGTGGCCCAGATTGTCATAAGCCGCTCTGGCTTTCACTATACGTGCATTGATCTCATCACTCACTCCACCACCAGCACTTATGTAGCCACCTAGATACACGAACTTCTCGACTACTTCTATCTGCTCACCATCCAGGGTGAGTACAGGATTGGAATCCTGCCAGTCTTGTAGGAGTACTTTGCACTTCGAAGGTGCAAAGCACATACCATACCTACGGACACTGATTGCCAACTGATTAATTGCGAATTGCATGCCTTGGGCATTATCGCACAGTAAGACAATATCGTCCGCATACTCAAGGTCGAGAAGTCTTTCTCCAGGCAACAGATCCACACCACCATTACTTACATTCATCAGAGCTGTTTCCAGAATGTCATCGATGGCAAAGTTGAAGAGGAATGGTGAGATTGGGCAACTCTACCTAACTCTACTGCTTGTATGCAACAGCGGTGAGAGGTGTTTGTATGCCCTGATCAATACCACCTAATACTCAATACAATAAGTGAAGAGAAGTGGTCACACAACTCACATTGATAGTAGATGAGGGTAGGCTAAGACAGGTTTTGACAGTATGTAACCTAGATGATTGAAACCATCACAGTCGTCAAGATCTATATAACAGCTAGGGGTACTTTATAATTTAGACTATTGTCCTCATGTAATTTATTAATACATTAGAGTAAAATACTTGTATCACGAACCATTTTGAGACATATGGTTACTCGGACTGGCATAATGCATGTCAAGAGTATTGAGCTTCAATGTAAAACCCATCAGTTAAGATCAATCCATTAGCGTGTTCAACAAAATGATGGGATTGTATGGTTATTCTAGAAGTGTTAACACGCTATGACAACTTTGCTAAAATGCTTCATGGTTAACCTAACATACATCTAGAAACAACTAGCTAATCTCTCCAAGCAATTGGTAAAATTACGGGATGCAATTCTCAGTCTTCAGGTCTGGGACTATGATGATTAGGAGTATTTGAATTATAATACGAACTAAGAATCCGAGGAATAACGCAATTGGATCAAGAAGTACTCGTTAAGCACGAACGAATTTACTGTATTTGGAATTCCAAATCAAGTATTCAACAAGTACAAAGGTATCATCACTTCATTCAAACACCACATCCGCCACAGCTTAAATTGGAGTATAGGTGTTTGTAATCAATTGAACGTCTTCTTCTTAAGTTCATCCTGTGTCTGTCCGACATTGTATTGGATAAAGACTCCGTATTATCTAGAATGCACTCAGTATTAGAATTAACAACCGAGATCGGAACAGACTCACTTGCTTCCTGGGATTGTGAACAATCACCATATCGGTTGAGTACTGAAACTACTGCTACCTAGAATTTGAACCATAGACTATACTCCCCCACGAAATAATTTAGGATCCTCATATCCCCAAGTTATGAATAATGGACCTTCATTCAAAACATATTTTTCACATTGGTTATAGTAAACACTAGAAGTGACTATGTAATAGGGGTAAACAGCAGTTGGTATGAAATCATTCAAATTGTAATCAAACTCGAGCTCATTTAGTACTTGTGCTTCGCATTGAACAAGTTTCCCACAAGAAACAAATGAATTATCAGGACAAATAATATTTGATAGAACATCAAGATTTGACTCTTCTGAAATAGTTTCCTCGAATTTATTAAGAATGTCATTGCAGAGTAAAGGATCATTAGAAAATTAGCATCTATCAAAACTACATCAGGTTTTTGATCATAATTATGTTCACTCAACATATTTTCTTCAGATTTGTAAGAAATTTCGTCAGAAATATGTGAATCACTAGGAAAATCCATATTTGGAATAGTAACATGAGAAATCTGATAAGTTGATTGATTAGAAACTGTTGTCTCGCAAAAATTATGAGTTTCACTTAACTCTGAACTGTTATATGACTCTACACTGTCTTTTGAAATCGTTGATAATGATAAATGACCATTAGGAACACTGAAATTAATAGAATCAGAATTACAAGACTTAATATTAGTTGCAGCAAGATGAGCAGTAGTATTACAAACTGACTGAATATGTCCAATATCACCACATTTAAAGCACTTCGAATTACGAAATTTACATGAATTAAAAGAGTGGAACCTGCCACAGGACCAATATTGACCAGTCTTGTGCCCATTTTCGTGAAGTGCATCGCAACTCCACAATGAATTATCTGAATAACCTTTAGTATGCACTGAATTGGGATGACGTAATGTAGAGGAATTTTTTATATCTCCATGAATCATTCTACGAAATCTTCCTCCTTTTCCACATTTAAAATTTGTATGCTGAACAGTCTAGCAGTAGATCCTTGAGAATTGTATAAGAAAACGAAATGGGCTTTTCCGGTAAAGCCAGAGTCTTTAATAAGCTATATGTTTTCTATCCGATGAATGTGAGGAAATGTGCTACAGTATTAGCATCTTCATCGTCTTCCTTGGTCATAGCTCAAATTTTGAATCTTTCAAAGTAATCTTCAAAAGCATCAAAATCTGAATGTATATCCAACAAATATTTTCACCCAGGTTTAACGGTGTCGTCAAAAGTACGGATAAATGGATTGGGTGTATGGAACCGCTGCAGAATTTCCTAAAAGTGTTGGAGGCTGAAGAATCGGGACTATTACTCAATATTGTCATTCGATGACTTTCCCCTCGTCTGCTTGGTTTACGTATAGAACAGACTTCCGAGTAGACAAGAAAGTACAGTTCAATGTCAAGCCCAAAGTGTTGTCTAGATGAGGTGGTAACTCGGTTAATGGCATAAAGCAAACATCAGCAAACGAAACAAAAAAATGTCCGAACTTCCGGCGAACAGTTCATTGTCTTAGTGTTTGGGCTGTTCTCATTACTTGTCATCACCACTGAAATGGAAGAATCTATATCAGGAGCCGATATTAATAGCTTATTTAGTTTATTAGTACACATAAGCTGATATGAACTTGACTATACAAGTAGACTTCCTCACGTTTATGGTCGTAACGGCCGAACTGTCAATATTTGATTTGAACGCAGAACTAACGAACCAAAATTTATTCGATTAGACCAGACCACGTTCCTCTGTATAGCGTACGTAGCGTTTTTCAGTTACTCGTATTAAATTATATCAAAATACAAACTCTGTGCTTAATTTAAACGGTTTTCATTTAGGAAGTAGAATAAATTATATCTAAATACAAAATACCTAAAATGGTACAGCCTGTGCTATACAGTCAAAAGTTTCTCTAACACAAATTAGCATACTAAACAACAAAAGAAACAGTTAATAAAAAAGAATTCAATACCTGAGAATCAATACAAATATTCCCAACAAGATGGGATCAAATATCTATCTGCAGGG